TAGTGAAGTGCCGTTGTAGACATCTGGCTAAATCTTGGCTGGAGGAATAGGGGAAATGATTTGCTAAACATCTAGAGAAATATTATTCTCTTTACTTTCTTGAGGCCACGCAAGATAAAACTCAGGTCAAGCTCTTCGCAGAGACAGAGAGCTGAACTGTGAATAAATCTCCCCCAAAGTGTGATAATAATTAAATACAATGTCACACTTTTTTAATCCGTGTTAAAAGTTACGGCTCAGCACTTCTCCTACTATATATTTTGCTTGCTGGTCTATTCCGTGCTGTCAGAGGCAGTAGAATTAATGGTGGCTGTATTATCAAAGCTGTAAAAGCCTTCAACAGTTAAGCTTAGTCAAGCAATGTTTGGGCTTCTCTGATTAATGCCCCAGGTCCGTGGCAGGACGATGAGAGATGAATTTCAGCACTTTTTGATCCTGATAAATAGAATTCGTTGAAGATCTTAGTTCAGTGTCAGGTAAATACAGGTATGATGATGATGGGGGGGGGGAGCCTAAAATCACCTAACAAATCTTTCCTGAATGGGCTTTACATTCTATATAGTCTATAGTCGTGATGGGGGCCTCAGAAAATTGGGGGAGGAACAGAAACAAAATCTAATTATATATATACACACATATATATTCTGCCATTTGTCCTGAACCATCCAACATGTAAACTGTCATAATCGCCGGACAAAAACATTAAAAAGTAATGAGATCATTGTTGGATCTTGATCAGGTCCTACAGGACTGTAGTTACAAGAACCTACAAAGTGAAGTGAAGTAAATAAGGAGACTGAAGTAGACCACAGAGTGGTGGAGAAGGAGAAGACAAGGGTATTATAGAAACATGAATTAATGTGGATGTGGGTGCTCAGTGCACCAAGGGAGTTCCCCTAGCAGTTTAAACCTATATCAGCATAAGTAAAGGATCAGTCAGGTTCATCTGTAGCAGCTGTACATAGGATTTTTCAAAAAGGTGGTTTAAGTCTGTCTTTGAATGTAGAGAGAGTCAGTCTACCAAACCATCACTGCCAGCTGGTTTCAAAGATAAGGAGCCCAGAACATGAAAGCTCTGGCCTCACGCTATTCTTAAAAGAAAAATAAATGTAGTCCCTTATTCACTTTATAAGGGGGAATTTCACAGCGTGAATCCCTGTAACCCACATGGGCTGCCACAGGAGGCGCCGTCAAGTATGTAGTGCCTCTGGAGCATGAACTTAGGACACTGTGTGTAAGTTCAAGCCCCATAAAAACTCTGGGAACAGTAAGAAAGTCTGTGGTTTTGGTAGCAAGTTTAACTGTGAGGTTGGTAGGAGGTCAGGAGATCTTTAATAAACATATTTTAAATTCTGTTCAAGATTTCCACAGGGAGTCAGAGAAAAGAAGCTCGAACCTGAATGTTAGGGTCTTTCTGTCCTGTTATTACCTCTGCAGCAGTAGTTTGGATGGGCTAAAGGCATTCAACTGATTTATTTGGACACAGTGATAGCTCTGATGTAGGGTAGTAATATTACTAGATATAATAAAGAGGTTGGGTATTTTTTGCAGCATTCTTTAACAAAAAATATTTCTTACATTTTTTTAGTGATGCATAGGTGGTTAAATGCCGAGTTCTTTTGATGCATTTGTCTATCAAAGCACCATAACCACATTCCCACAGATAAATGACCTCTACTTGCACTTCTGCCAAACACAGTTCTCATTTACATGCAATTATAAGCATGTGTGGGCTTTGCATTTTACAGCCTTGAATTAATGATGAAAGTATTGCAGCAGTGTGAGCTTCACCATGTGATGTATTACTGCATTATACAGTGTAAGCACTTCCCCAGTACTCTTCATGTTAGCCAAAACAGGTTAAAAGAAGTGCATTTTCAAACATGTTTGGATGGATGAAAAAACATTAAGTGAATCAACCATGGTAAAGTCAAGTTTTCTAATTAGTGTTTTATTTATTATTACTTTTAATGCATACAAATGTACCAATGGAGGTTTATGTTAAAAATGCACGATTTTTACTCGCTTTAAAAGCATCAAAACAGTGTCTTTAAAAACATGAACATTGACCCAGAAAAAAGCTAAATGGTAGTTAGATTATTTTAAAGTTCACAGAAATACAACGTATATTAATACATTAGAAGTGTGTAATGTAAAATAGAGTTCTATAGTAAAAACAAACAACAAAAAACCCAGCAGTTACCAATTCACTATTACAAGTAGATTAAAACGAAACAAAAACAAACAAACAAGAAGAAAAAAAGAGCAAACCTCTACAGTTGCTTAAATATTGCACAAATTATAGCAATATAACAAACTATAATAAAGCAACAGTGATTAGCATTAGCCAACGGATATGTGTACCTTAAAGTGTACCAAGAACATTCTACATCATGACAACGTCACTATCAGCCTCAACTGTTCCTATAGTACAAGACTGGGCATGTTTCCTTGTTGCTATACCTTTATTAGCAAGTCTGATACTCACTGTGATGTTCAGCACGTCGTCTAGAACACGTCGACCTGCCAAAACGCATGGGTGTTGTTAGTTTCATGTAATTAACCAATTAGATATTTGCACCAATCAGCCGCTTCATAGGTACACGTAATATAGTGGGCGACATGCACCGGGATACCCTACTGCTAGGTTACTGCTAGTAAACCAATAACTATTACATACAATAGTTAAATTCGACAATAGTTAAATGTATTACAAGTGAAAATGTCCACTTTCTCATTCATTTCTTCTGAGTTTTTTAAGCGCGAGTGAGACACTTGGACAAACGCACTTAGTCATAGTTACCTACAGATGGCAGTAAATGCACGCACAGTGTAGAGGATGCAGTCGCAGCTTGGACACGCTTTAAAATCACGCCTTTCGTTTTTCAAATGAATATACAGTACATTTGCAGTGAAATCATCAAGTCAATACCAGATTAGAACTTTTTTACGGTTAAATTTCAATTTAATGTAAAGCTAAAGTATGTAAATGCAGTTAAATGCAGTTAGTCAGTTTACTTAAACTAAGGTTATACTGTATATATTAACTTTAAAGCAGAAAACCAAAGCATTTACAAAAAATAATCTAAATTGTGAGATTACAGAACATCACGAAACCATGGCCGACTCTTTTTATTCGTTTTTTTTTTTTTTTACACAGTGAACAATCATTGATCCCTCTAGCTCTTCTGATCAATATTGATTGTCAGATATGGTTTGCAATAAGGCTGTGTTAGCAGAGGTTGGGGGGCAGGTTGAGTTTATCCTGAGAGCCCATCATCCCCTTCCCCAGTCCCCACAGGAGGAGCCCCGACCCTTTAACCTCAGCATGTAGCTAGGTGACGCCCTGCCTGATGTTATCCAATCATTCAGCTCTGATCAAACCTGTCAGAACATCTGCCCACAGCTGGACAAGCAGGCAATATGAGATGAGCAATTTGACAAGTACCTGTTTTGTCATAGTCATAGTAATGGACTCATAAACCTAACCATCATGAACACTTAATGAAAGACAAAAAAACATATGATGAAAGAAACACACAAAACCTTCATATGCATAGTGTAAGACTATTACATAAAAAAGTAAAAATAGAGATAAAAATAATAAAAAAATAATTTAAATTAAGCAAAAATCATAAAATTAGGCAAGAATATAGTAAAACAATCCAAATCCCCACAGCCCTGCAAAGGGATAAATGTTATATTCTATAGATAACAGATGGATAATGAAAGATAGCTGTAACATAACTAAAATTCATACAGCAGATGGTAGTAATTATATTCAATTAAATATTTATTTTCACCATCAGGCAGACCACAGTAAGTAAAGCTATAATAAAACAGCGTCACCAACACATTAACATCAGCATTCAAAATATCTAACAGTGAGAAGGAAAATGGGGGAAATAAAAATTATATTAAATTGAAAAAAAGTAAAAAAAATAGATCAAGTTTGGGAAAAATAGATACGTTAACTGACACACAAAATAATAAGTATATTTTTAAATTAAAAAAAAAACCTAAAAGAAAGCAAGGCAAACCAAGAAAAAGGCTAAATGGCTACAGATATGCAGTAGGTTAATAAGGTGTGTTTAATAATAACCAAAGAGCTTAAATAATAAATTAAAAAAATCAGAGGAAAAGAGGAAGACTAGAACAGAAGAGTTAATGAACTGATCTCAAATATCAGGTGAATAAATGAATGGCGAGTAAATTAAGTGTAAGGTTATAGTTAGCCAAAATAAGTCAAGAGACTAAACAGAAGTTGGATATAAGTTAGCTAAGATTAATACTTACTTTTTCAAGGTGTAAACCATAATTAGCTGAGTAAAAACACAACCACTGGGCCGTGGCACACTAGTGTGCCGTGAGAGATCATTAGGTGTGCCCTGGAAAATTATCCAATTTCACTTAATTGGGCTGAAAACTATTCTTTATTTATTGCATATTGCTTGTCTTCTTCTAGGTGGCAGCAGATGGCTATGAAAACTAAAAAAAAAATAATCAGAGCTGTTGAAGAAGATCTTTGTGCGTGTCTTTCTTCAATTCCTGCCAGTATATCAGCGTTGTCTTCAACTAAACAGGTTGAGATTTTAATCAATTATGAGGTCATTTAAACTAGAAGATTATTATATTTATTTACATCTAGTTTTTGTGAGCTTTTTGTTTGGTGGTGTGCCGTAGAGTTTCTCCTGATTATATATATGTGCCGTGGCTCAAAAAAGGCTGGGAACCAGAGTCCAAGGTACATTTCTGCATACCATTC